AAAAAAAAAAAATGCTACTGATTTGTGTACATTGATTTTGTAACTGGATACTTTACTGAATTTATTTATCAATTCTAGGAGTCTTGTGGTAGAGTTGGCAGGGTTTTTTAGATATAATATCATCCTTATTATCAAACAAGGATAGCTGGACCTCCTCTTTCCTGATTTGCATTCTCTATATTTCTTTCTCTTGCCTAAATGCTCTGGTTAGGACTTCCAGTAATGCATTGAATAGAAATGGCAACAGTGGTAATCTTTGTCTTGTTCTAGTTCTTTTTCCCATTTAGTATGATATTTGTCTGTGGATTTTCTATATATAGCTTTTGTTATTTTGAGGTATGTTCCTTCTATGCCTAGTTTACTGAAGGTCTTTAGCAAGAAGAGGTGCTGGATTTTGTTGAATGATTTTTCTGCATCTATTTAGATGGTCATATAGTTTTTTTAAAATTCTGTTTATATAATAAATCACATTTATTGATTTGCAAATGTTGAACCATCCTTGCAACCCTAGGAAGACATCCGCTTGATCACAGTGAATTATCTTTTTGATGGGCTATTCGATTTAGTTTGCTAGTACTTCACTGAGGACTTTTGCATCTATGTTCATGAGGGATATTGGTATTTAGTTATCTTTTTGTTGTTGTTCTTGCTGTGTGTTTTCTTGGCTTTGGTATTAAAGTACTACTGGCTTTATAGAATGAGTTAGGAAGATAATTTTTAACACATTATATATTGACAGGTATAACCCCCCGAAACCAAAGCTCTTTGGAGCCCTCAATAATTTTTAAAAATGGAAGGGGTCTTGAAACCAAAATGTTCGAGAACTATTACTATAAAACATATTTAGGCTCTTATTCTCAGGATGATGCAACCCATCTGGAAAGCAGGGTAGTGATAGAATCTGACTATTGCTTTTCAAATATCCATCTGACTGCTGAGTGGGAAATTGACTTTGGAGAAGAAAGAGATGAAGCAAGAAAATGGTAGTTGTCATTGTGTTAGTTCAGGCAAAAGATAACTGTGGGTTGGTCAAGGATGATGTAAGTAGAGACAATTAGAAATGTCAGATTGGGGATCTATTTTGAAGATAGAGCCAATACAGTATATTGATTAAATGGTTTTCAGGTCTGAGGGAAAAAGGGCCAACACTGACTCCAAGGATTCTGGTCTAAGCACTTGGCTGGATGGTGGCTAGAAACCTACTGAGAAGAGGAAAAGAGTCTCGAAGCCCTACCATCCCCGGAGCAAGAGGCCTCATGAATCCACCATGTACTTGGAAAGGGTGCAAGTGATGAAAGGGAGAAAGAAAAAGGCATTGGTTTAATATTCGCAAAGTGCAATCCTGTTACATTATGTATAATCTAACCCTAGCTTTGTTTAAAAAAAAATGCATATAAAGGGACTAGAAGGAAGCACTAAACTGTTAACCACGCCATTATTGGCTACAGATTTGTTAGAGGATTTTATTCCCTCTCATCTAGGTTTTTGTATTTTACAGACATTTTACAGTGAGTATTTATTACTCAGAAATAAAATTATTTTTAGAAAAACTGTGTAAAATTCAGAAGTGCTACATGGTGTCTGTGAGCTTAAAGAGATCTCTATTTCAAGAGAAGGTATCCTTTCTTGAAAATATAAGTCAGAGTAAAATGCTTTACACACCAAGTTTATTTTCCTTCTATTTACACCTTTACAGAGAATTATTTTCTGCTATGATAGTTTCTTCAACTTTTTTTATTTAAAATTGAATCTAGGTTATATTTAACTCCTTTGGGTGATAATGAAAAGTTCTTGAATAGAGAATCTGAAAAATCCCTGACTAATACAGCCCCAGTGACGCGTCGGGCTAAGTTCAAAGTTGATCTCTTGTTTTCTATGTCCCCATGCTTGAAGGACACATTTAATGCCAATTTTTGGAGAAATCTATCTTAGAAGGAAACCACATATATCAGTGAGGGTATACATGTGACAAATAAACAGAGAATAGGTAGAAAGAAGTCCTCACTGAAGTTGGTGAACTTGATGTCCTGGTGAGCATGCTGTGTCCCTGATTTGTTGAGTGACCGCTTGAAAACTTTGGTCTGAGCAGTTGCTATGTCCAGAGGTCAAAGTGAAAGGGAAAGGGAAATGCCTCCTCCACACCTAATAAGACTCACTTTTCTTCTTTCCCTTTCACTGCCTCAAAAAGACTGTCAAAATAATTTTTTTTGGTTTGGTACACAGCTAAGAAAGCACTCAACTACTTTACAGTGAAGAGTGAGGAGGTATAATGGGACCTATAAATTGACAAACCATGGAAACTGTGGTTGACCACCTGTAAGTTGACCACCCTAGGGACTGTAACAAACCTGTCAACATATGGTCAACATAAGGATCTAGGCCTACCATACGGATACATACATGTGATACATGTCCAGTCCACGAAAACTAGGTCAGCTTAAGGAGATGGTCAATGTAGGTAGATGGTCTACTAAGGAGGTTCTACTGTAGTTCCCTCTCAAATCGCTGTCAGGGTCTTTAGAGTGAGGAAATAGCTTTTGTTCACCAAGAAGGTGCTGTATCTTCCTTGTGTTCAGAGCATTTACACTTTTACTTTCTCCTTCACAACCTCTACCTCTGGAATATTAAAAAAGTCATGAATTGTGTGACCCATTGCCCCATGGAGCAGCTTGGTGGGTTTCTGGGAAACCTTCCTTTTCCAGTGAGACACACTCTGAGGTCTGTCCTGTCCTTTTTCCTGGGCCCTTCCTGCCTATAATGACTGACTGGTTTCTGGTGCCAGCTGAACACAAAGGTAAGACACAAAATTTATACTGAACTTGTTAAGAAACTTGGGCCCAAACCTCTTTGCCTTACCTTATCACTCCAAATTTTGATCGGAGTTCATCCAGCCAATGCATCCTGGGATCACCTTTTAGTTATCTACCTGACTTCTGCCTCAATGACCACACAGTCATTCCACTAACCTGAAATACCCTCCTTCTGCCTGTCTCTCCCAGAAAAACTAATGAAAAAGAAATAAAATTATATTAAATTATGAAAATTGTGTTTAAAATTAAGGAACAATCTCTACTTTTTAAAATTGCAGCTAAATGGATTTCCAAAGAAACTGTTCTATGTAGTTTCTGGATTTAATTTAAAATGGAACAGGTACACTCATGGCACTCTCAATCTAAGGCATCCACTCACCTCCGGCAGGATGGTTTCCTAAGGTCTCCTCTAGAGCTGTGGTTCCACGTTTAACACAGGAGAAGTAACTCATCTCACAATTTGATTACATTGTCACAATATCTAGCTCAGTGGTTCTCAACCTTCCTAATGCCTCCTAATGCCACAACATTTTTTACAGTTCCTCATGTTGTGGTGACCCCCAACCATAAAATTATTTTTGTTGCTACTTCATAATTGTAATTTTACTACTGTTATTAATCTTAATGTAAATATCTGAAATACAGGATGTATTTTCATTGTTACAAAGGGGTCATGACCCACAGGTTGAGAATCACTGATCTAGCTAGTAAATACATGGGAGCAATAAATAAAAGTTTAAGTGTCTGCTAAGATTTTGGAAAGAAAATCAGTCTATTCTCTAAAAGGGAAAAAGTGGTCTCATGTACAGCAAATAAATAAGATTAGTCCATAAATAAGATTTCCCATGAAGGTAAATCTAGCAATTGTAAATGTTTTCTTGAAGAGTTTTGACAACAACCGAAAATCTGATCAAGGGCATGCGTGCTCTCTAGAAGGCAGGAATATCACATAAAGGGAACTGCAGTCAATTCTACTTACTCTATCTGGGTAAAGGCCATGTGAATCAAATGGGTGGCCAGAGTGACACAGAGAAAAGAAAAACTCACAAGTTATAAAATGATAATATTTGCCAGACTATATCCTGTGTGGAATTTGACTAAATGCAGATAGAATTATTAAAATGTGTGTATTCTGCTGGATAGGACTAACTCACAGAACCTCAAATTCTAATAAAATATCCTCCAACTTATCAATAGTCTTTTCATTCATTACAATATTTGCAAAGTGACTTTCAAATTACTAAATCAGGTTCCCAGCTACTTCAGTATTCATAGAAGGCATTCCAGATATAAACGATCTGGTCATTAGAGACAAAAATCCCTTACTTTTAATAAAAATGAAATCCTTTAGTGATATTATGTGGATAACAACACATATATCGAATAGGTTGTGATGTAGATAAAAACAGAAAATATATGTAATACATGTGGCTTGACCCATAATAAATATTTAATATTTTTCCTACCCTTTTCTCTCTCTTTGCTTCCACTCAAATTACAACAGATAAAAGATACAGAATAATACACGTTTTAGCCAGTTGATAAGAAATACCTGCCCAGCTCTCTAACTCCAACTAGTTGTATCCTCAGGAAAGAATTTGACCTTATCTGACAAACAGATGCCTCCGATAAACGTAGTGTTTGGACCAGATGATATCTGATTTCTCTTCCACTTATAATAAAAAAAAGAGACAGAATCTTTGAGATTGATCCTTAGGGTTTTATTCCACCTGAGATTTCATTATTCTGCTCAACCAATTTTTCTTAATATTAAACAAAATCAAATAATTTAAACAAATTTTCATGTTAACAAGGCAGTGAATTAGCAGTACTGAATGGACCTCCTCTTAATTTCCTACTAAAATACCCATGGGAATATACAAGATAAGAAAACTGGCACCTGCTTTATAAACTAAAGATAAGTGACAAAGATATGTCAAAGTTCAGAGGGACTTTCCACTAACTGCATCATTAATGGACAGAGATTGAGAAATATTTTCTTGGATGGCACAAACACTACCCTTTGAACCAGAACATCAAGAACAATCCCAAAGCAAGAGGAAGACTTTGACTCTCCCAACTGCTTGCCCTTAACTTCAGGACAAGGGATTGCACTGACCAGGAAAATAGGTGCCATCGCCCCCTGAAGTAGAGTTCTCATCTGAGCCAGCCAACAGTGTAACCGCTCTCTTTTCCCCATCAGTGGTTCCCTTTCTACATCCGTTCACAGATACAGAGGTGGGTGGATAACAGTATAATAAATACCAAGCAGGGGTGGGAAGAAAAGGGGTATTGAGAACAGTGTATGGAAAATATTAAGGGACAGAAGAGGAAATATTGTCTCTCATGTACTACAATTTTACAGGAATTGCATTTCTATCATAGTCAGAAATTCCAACTTCTTCCAGCAGATATATGCTATGCCTATGAGGCATTATATGTAGGACCTATGACCTCCCTGGCTAGATATGGGAAGAAAGACCTACCAGTCCCTGAGCAGGCAGTGAGGGAGTCTAAGACCACATCCGTCAGGGTCCACTGGTAATCCAGTACTGGATCTATGAAAGTATTCTGCAACACTGGAGAACATAGGGGAAACTGAGGCCTGATCTTTAGCATAAAACTTGTTTCCTGCTTGAGAAACCTAGAGAATCACGATAATAGCATGTGAGTTGTGTATGTTCAGGAGATCAGAAAAGAGAAAATGTATATGCAATGTGTGGCAATAATAATTATGGTAAAGTTTCTCTAGATTCCAAGGGTCTCTTGAAGCTAGAGGCAGAGGCTGTGCTCAAAGTCTGCAGTTTTGCAACAACAAAAGTGAAGACTCTCTGTCTGACCTTCTCCAGGTCCTCCCTAATCAGGCTAGTGTTGGGCAGCAGCTTTTGTCTACTTCTTCCCATTTTATGATAATAAATAGGGACCCGAGGTTTACTCAGAGGGCTCCTCCCGGAGTTCCTCAGTCCCACAACACAGACTGCCTCAAGCCTCTTCATTCCTGGCACCAAGACCCCCTCTTCTCATGACCCTCAACACCTCCAGGAGAAGGGGATATTTATACTAAAAACTCAAGAGAGCAACGGTGCCTGTGGCTCAAAGGAGTAGGACACTGGCCCCATATGCTGGAGGTGGCAGGTTCAAACCCAGCCCCGGCTGGGGTTGGGGAGGGGGTAAGGGAGGGACTCAAGAGTGAGCTTATTTCTTTAAATTATCACCACAATAACAAACAGAATAATTCTTTATTTCTAAAATAGTTACTTCAATGCTTTTACTAGCTAAATATTCTCAGGCCATTTCCCGGTTGATTCTGCTCATAACTTGGAATGTTTTGATCATAACTTTTCACACAAATTCTCCAAGATACAGACTAACTAGTGTAACTATATCACCCTTAATGGTTCTGTCAACTGGCGTATAGCAGGTGTAATCTGTCATCTCTATGATTGAATGTATTCTTAATTTGAAAGTAAACACCAAATGGAAATCCCTGTTGTGTTCAATAATGCATTAGACACAGTGCAGACAGTTGCCAGAGGATTTGGTTCTGCTTTCTCTACAATAAGTCATGTTGAAAGAATGACTACAATATTCTAACGTGTTATATTATCACCATCAAACTTGTGCTGGAAAGGCTTGGAGTCGGGATATTTTTGTTACAAAATAACAACCTGAATAAATGAAAGGCAATTCAGAACTTGCCCAATTTTTTTTTTTACCTCTGGGGTAGCAGATAGCTATATGTTAGGTTGTATGTCTCCTCCTAAATTTAGCTAAGTATATAATGTTTTAGGAATACGTTAATGATTAAGAGGTTTGTCTTTTTTTGTACTTTTGACAGTTTCCCTGCAGGGATGTAGAGGTGGCAGCGGCAGTGGCAGCGGCAGTCTGAGCTAATGTAAGTCAAACACACACGTACCATGTGTCGCCTACTGTGCTCGGGATTTTACTGACATTATCTCATCCTATCTTAAGGATCATTCTAGGAAATAGGCATGTAATTATCTCCATTCTACAAATAAGGAATGCAAATATGAGACATCTGGAGATGTTCTTCCAGAAAGGAAATCTGTAAGAGTGAAAAGGTATTGATTCACTGAAATCTGTGATAAATTAAATTTTGTGTATAGCCAGTAGGGTTTCTACATTAATTAGTTAAATTCCACAGGAGTTTACCTTGTACGAACTATGATAATTTTCCAGGCAATTAGGGATGTAACAATGAGCAAAACAGATAATACCACAAGGTGGCTTACTTTCTCCAGGTTATGAATAAACAAATGAGCAGGGGATATTCTCTATGAAGAAAAAACAAAGCATGGGAAGAGATTTGACAGTTGTGGGAAATGGCCAAGGATAATGAGAGTGCAATAGTGGTGGCTATGGATGGTCCTTCTGAGGAGTCAGTTCATCAGTAAAGGACTCAGGGAGCAAAGGTGTGAGACATGGGGAGATCTCCATAAAAAGGTGGATTAAACTGCAGGTGCAAAGACCATGGTGTGAAAACAGAGTTGGTAAGTTTGAGGAATAGAAAAAGGGAAGTGAGGCTGGGTTAAAATCAGTGAGGGGAAGATTGGACAAAATTTAGAAAGTTATGTGCCAACCTTTGGCAGGCCTTTGAGTCATGGTAAAGGCTTTGGATTCTATTCAAAAGTAGGTGAGGTAACCAGTTCTTTGCTATTCCAAACTTCTCCTCCTTCTCCCAGGGGCCTCATGAAAGGCCCTATTGCTGGGGCAGGACAAGGAAAATCATCCATTTGTGCATCTCTACTCCATTTCTCCTCTTGTCCTGAAAATCTGGACAAGCAACTTCCAGATCCATCTGTCGAAGGTGGCAGAGCCTCCATCACCTGGAACCCTAATGACCATATGAGGAAAAGTCTGGCCAGTAACCAGTTCACTCACCCAAAACTGTTATGTGAGAAAAAATTACCTTTCATTTTGTTGAGCTGCAACATACATATTACCATAACCTCGTCTACCATAGCACCCCCAATACCCACTCTCTCCCCTTTGTGCTACTGTAATAGAATGCTTCATTTCCAGCTTAGCCCGTGAGCATGTGGAATAACGGTTACATCCCTAAGCCTCTCTTGCAATTAAGTGTGGTAACATAACAAGTTTGGGCCCAAATGATGAGTAGAAGTGATATGTATCTTTTCAAGATTGCGTCCTTATGGAAAGGCACCTGGCCTCCCCTTTTCCAAATGCCTTGGCCTGAAAGCAGAGGTGGTGATGTGGACAAAGGTTACATAGTAGAGCATAGTAGACCAATAAGATGGGTTTTCCTGAGCCCCTAACCTATCTTATAAAACCCACAGTTATTTGGGGGCATAGATTTCAACACTTGCCTATATGCTAAATAAACTAGATGTCATTGAGAGGTTTTGAGTAGGTGAGACTAAATAATTAAACATAATCTGGCTTGTAGTTTAAAACACTGGCTGCTGGGTAGAGAATAAACTGCAGGGCCCAGAGTGCAATCAGAAAGATTGGTTAAGATGCTATGGCAATAATCTGGGTAACAGATGATGGAGGAAGCTAAGGAAGAAAGAAGCGGTAGGACTCAGAATAGTTTTGGAAGGTTGTGCCCATGGTATCCAATACAGACATGAGGTGAGGTGGTTGTCAGAAGAAAAGAAGAGAGAATGACTCCATCATTTCTGAATTGAACAATTGGGCACCAATTGGGAGCATTGGTAAAGAAGCAAGTCTGGGGAAGGAAATCAAATCAAAAGTTCTTTTCTGGTTGTTCATCCAAGTGAAGATGTCAAATGACTTTTATGGTATTTAGGCATTCTCAGTTTGGAGTTTAGAAAAGATGTTGAGGCAAGAAGTATAAATTCGGAGATATCAAATTAGTAAATTTATAACATAAGTACTAGCACAATTTCAAAGGGTCTTGATTACAGCAAGAATCCAGGTAAAATAGAGTAAATGTCATGGTGGATTGGCCCAATATAGCCTTGGCTATTTTCCTAATTAGAAACAGAATAGGACCTAATACTCATACCATCTGTTTGTTTATTTTTAATTGGCCTGAGGAACAACAATTAGTAATTACCCCTGAATCCTTCAAAAGATGACCTAATACTTAGAGGTAGAACAGGATTACTGGCATAACACCCAAGAGGACCACAGTAAATTGTCTTTTACTTAATTTTTAATCACAATAGCTATAGAAGCATCCCTGTCCATGTGCACTATGTGTCTCCTAAAGGAGAGGGAAAAACTTCATCACTGGGATCTGTACTTAGTGAAGAACAGGAAGAAATGGCATTTACACCTCCAAAAGCACAAAATAAAAGAGTTACCTCCCACTGTCACCTCCCGCCGCCTTTGTGAGTACTTATTCTCTGGACAATTGTTGTCTGTTTTTCCTGTTTGATATTAGCCTTGCCACTAATGTCTGGGAAGGAAATGAATGGTGCTTTGCTAAAATACTGAGACTCATGTAAAGACTCCCTGGACAATGAGATTAACTATCTAGACTGAATGACTTTTCCTAGTTAATGTAGGTACAATTTACAAGGGTCTGCTCAATATTTTTAAAATGATGAATAGCTGGAGCTTTCAATTGTGGATGACCAACATCAAAATAGCCTAGTAAATTGTAGCCTAGTAAAGAATGCCTATCACATTCTTGAATGGCATAAAGATATCATATATTATTTCCAAGTATTTTCTCCCTTACTTCCACATTCGATCCTGCTTTTATTACTTTTGCTACTTTATGTCATCTAAATCATTATGTCCCTGATTTAGTTTCCTCAAGATGTGACAAGCTACCACAGACATAGTGGTTTAAAACAACAGGAATGCATTTTCTCATAGTTTTCAAGGCCAAAAATCAAAACCCAGAGTGTCAGCAGGGGTGTGCGTCCTCCATAGACTTGGGGTATCTCTTTGGTTTCTGGTTCCATGGACCTAGCTTGTCTGAATGTTTATGATTCATGGTGAAAGATGAGAACTGCATCTGGGTTTAAAAAAAAAAAAAACTCTGGGTGATTCTAATGGTTGTTGTTCCCCATTCTTTCAAAATCTTAATTTTTAAAAATGTCATTTTTGTCTCTTACATCATCAATGCAGTAAAATACAATATCCTATCAACAATGGCAAGATAGTACAGGAGAATTTCTGGGCTTTGGAATCAGCCAAGCTTGAATGTGAAATTTGGCTGTATCTTGTCCTATCACCTAAGTTCTCCAAGGTTCAATTTTCTCATCTGTGGAACAGCGATCTTTACATTATGGTGTTATTGTGAAGATCAATGAGATTACATATGTCAAACCCCAACATATGCTCAGTCATCAACTACATGGAAACTGTTATTAGCAAAATGTCAATGTGGCAGACCATGTGATTTCATAGAGCTATAATATAGTCATCTAAAATAACTCATTAATCATATGTCAGGATTCATATAATTTTAATATAGGAAAAGAAATAATCTTTATAAGTTTGAAGATTATGGCAAGGTTCTACAAAATAGAGAATGTGGCAGAAAATAT